CGGATGGCGCGTGCATTCCACGATCTTGGCTGTGTGACGGGAATCCCGATTGTCCCGATGGTAGTGATGAAAGGGGTTGCCCGCTTCCTGGTTGCTCTACAGGTATGTAGTAATACCTAGAGCTCGGATGAATATGTCTGCACTAGCTGATCCATGTTTTCGGCAGTTTTTCTGACCCGAAATTTTCAAGACTATCCGCACTTCAGTGAATCAAGTTCAGAACTGTATTGGCCGCAAATACTAAGAAATTATTATAGAAATGCTATCTATATACTCGCATTATTTTTTTATGAGAATCTGATTTTTTTGACGTAGTGGAATCTTACGAAAATAGGCCGTGATGACGAGTATGGCCTATAATTGTGTCAGGAAAATGTATTTTACTCCTTACTTTTTTCCCCTAAATAAGGGAAAGTCCAGATAGTAAGAGAAAAGCGAGCAGACTATCCAGTTCAGTTAGATTTACTGAAGTTGTACGTGTCGAACTATATGCAGGTTCTCCTTTTAAATTCGGTTGACACATTCTTGTGAGAAATTTTTCTAAATGCATATGAATCTGGCTTTCGACCAAAATTAACCTTTTTTTTGTGCCCGTTTAGCACAATTCCAATGTGCGAGTGGACAATGTATCACTCGGCAATTTCAGTGCGATGGAGACAAAGACTGCAAAGATGGCTCTGACGAAGAGAACTGCACCAATTCCGATGTGCATAAATGTCTCGGTAAAAAATAAAATTTATATTCTATCCCTGCGCATTTTTTAGTAGGAATTTTATCTTTCAGTTGGAGACTTCCGATGTTCCAATGGTCAGTGCATTGCTGAAAGCTGGAAATGTGACAAAGTTAAGGACTGCAATGATGGCTCCGATGAAATTAATTGCTGTGAGTAACTGCGTGTTGTATTTTCTTTCGAAATTTATGCAACCCCAGTCGATATCCTGTTTGCAGCACTCACGTGCACTGTTGGCGCGGAGTTTCGGTGTCCATTGGATAACCTCTGCATCTCTCCGTCTATGGTGTGCGATGGGAAATTCGATTGCCCACAGGATGGTGCTGATGAATCAACTTGTCGGAATAGCAACAAAACGTCTCTGACACTCCCGAAAGGACCGGCGTGCCGAGACGGGGAATTCAGATGCTCCTTGTCTTCCATTTGCATTCCCTCATCATCGCGGTGCGCATATGACTGCTCCTGTTATTGTTCTGTATAGATTATTTCGTTATTTCCTCTCCATTTCCAGCTTGTGGCTATGATATCCCTCGCGAATGCTAGCAAAGTCTTTGTAGATTCGTCTCTCCTATCCCTCTAAATCTGATATGTGCTGCATATAAGCACCTGGAAATGCTTTTCCTGAATATCTTCAAGATTAACGAAAGATACTGTACATACGAAATATGCAAATTGCATTAGTCAAACTCAATTGAAAAAGATTTATGTTGGGACAATTGAAAAAAATACTAATGCATTTTTTATTGTGAAGCCGTGCTTAATTTTACAAGTTATGTCCGATTTTCTGATTCCGTGCTCAGCAGAGCGCCTAATTAACGTGCGCTTTCTTAAATGGGACCCCTTGTGAGCCCATGCAAATGTAATTATAATGAAATTGAGATGCAGCGATTTAAAAGTAAAGAACTGGCGTAAAAAATTATAGTAAGCAAGATTTTGAACCGAGTAGAAATACTTCGAACGATGAGTATTGAATGAAGTCAAGTCGAAAGAATTTTAGGCAACGCTTCTTTTGGAAGATCAACTTCAAAAATTGTTCATTACCCGCGTATATATAGAGTTCTATTTATTCTGCACCGATGCGGAATTAATTTCACGAGCAGCTGCAAACGCGATGACCCTTCAACTCGACCATTGTGCATCACTCGCACGCTGTATTCCTTACCCAATCTGTATATAGATGCGACGGGAACGTGGACTGCCCCGAGGGCTCGGAGGATGAGATAGGCTGCTGTGGAACGTCAGAATTCAGCTGCAGCGGGGGGCGACATTGCATTCACGAGTCTTGGGTGTGCGACGGACATCCGGATTGTGCGGATGGGGCTGATGAGACTTGGTCCTTGTGCACTCCCGCGGGGTCGTCCAGCGCAGTGACTACCCGCGTGCCCACCTCTAAACTTTGTCTGCCCCAGGAGTTTCAATGCTACTCCGGAGACTGCGTCTCGCTCGTTAATGCGTGCGACGGGCATCCCGACTGCAAAGACGGCTCTGATGAAGGAGCGAAATGCAGTATGTCTTATTTTTTAAATCAATCCCATTTTCTTCATGTCCAACATTTATTTTCAATATTCTAGTCCAATATTACCATTGCCTCACATTACACTCTTTCATGTAAAAACTTGGAATTTCCATCAACTATACTTCCACTGTATGGTACTTGAATGATTTTGATATTTTATTGGCATTTAAGTCGAATGAAAAACCTCTGAAGTGGCCACCGAGCTTATTCTCTCTTGAAATCACCCATTATACAACTACAGTACTATTCGAGTACGCTGTAAACTCAAATACATTTTTGAATTCTCGAAGAAAAACCAGTTTTGAATTGAGAGTGGAGACTTTTATTTCAGTTGTGCGAGCTAGATTACACACATAAATGCATCCTCAATTCGAGATCAAAAGGGCAACAGAAAATCTTTAATTTTTCGAACCAATGAAAAATTTTCAAATTTCTTTCGAAGAACAAAGTCGAAAATTCGGTATGTTCCGTGTAGTTATGCGTTGGGAATCCTGTGATCATATACGGTAAAAGATTGCATTGCTATTTGTGTCAGACACGAGCTGCAAATCGCACGGCAATCCGTGCGCCCAGGCCTGTTACCCGACACCTGAAGGGCCGGTGTGCCGTTGCCTCAAAGGGTACTACTTGATGGACGACGGCGTAACCTGTGATGATGTGGACGAGTGCGAAGTTTTTCGCCAAGTGTGGTCTGGCCCTTCGTCAGCAGTCTCGTCGGAGTTGGTCGAGTGCTCCCAGTATTGCTCCAACACGAAGGGATCGTACAAGTGCACCTGTGCTGATAGTTACCGGCTGGATGCTGACAGGGCTACTTGCCGACTGAGTCAAGGGCATGCTGACCTTCTAGTGGCCACACCTGCGGAAACTTTGGAAAGCTCTGTTCAGATTTTCTCCATCTCCGCCATGATAGCCACGTCGAAAACTCTGCCACTTGCTGGTTCCGGGGTCAACATAACTGCTATCGACTTCGATTTTCAAAACGCTCTCGTCCACTGGATCGATGGTAGTCATTAAAAAACCGATAATTCTTGTAAATTCCACGGTATTAAACGGATCACAGGCCGCGTACGATTATGAGCCTCATCCATAATTTTCACGGCTGTTCGAAGGTGATAGTAACGTTTAAGCCGCCTAAAATGCAAATTTTCGTTCAAAAAAATCTTCAAAATATTCGCGTAAAACATTAGTTGCGATTTGTCTAATTTTTCCTGAACACGTTTAATGTAATGAATATGGGCGTTAAAATTATTTCAGAATCGAAGAAATAAAGACAATTACCTGGGAAACCTTCCAGATGTTTTTATCACAGCAAGAATTTTGTTTCTCTTAATTTTTTCGACTTGATTTTCGTCCATTCCCAAAATCTCGGAACATCAGCCGAATCTCCAGCGAACTCCTGAATACTGTGAACTGATGAAATGAGTAATTTTATACTTGAAATCTTCCCAGCTAGAAAGTTAACACCGTCATTGGAATCCTCCTGAATTAAGTTTAGGAACAGGTAAAGGTTCAACCTGTCCGTGTTCACATTTTTCAGGAGGCTCTGGGAATATCATGACCTATGATGAAAGAACTTCCTCCACAAGCGTCTCGATTTCGGGCTTGATTCGACCCATTCACCTGGCTCATGATTGGATCACAGGGAATTTCTTTCTAGCTGAACGCCGTGGGCCAGCTACTTATTCCATCGCTGTGAGTATACTATTTTCTAGAATGTGATCCGGAGCATATTTGAGTTATTCATTCCTGTAGGTCTGTGCGCCGAGAGATCAATCTAGGAATTGCAAGACTATCCACGGCAGTGAAAAGCGGTACATTGGCGGCATGGCGATTGCCCCACTTGATGGGTAGGACGGATTGCATTTACTGCCTCGATTCTTGCCTAAAAGCGTTAAACTTGTATATTCTCAGATATGTGTTCTGGTCCAGTTGGAGCCCAGGGAGGAAGGGCCTCTTGCCTTATGGTTTTATTCGAAGGTCAAACATGGATGGAACCAGTGTATTTTATGTGGCTGCCGACAAGATCAGTCAGCCGATGGGTAGAGACACATTTTTTATTTTTTAGCCAACTCCGGATCTTTTTGAAAAAAAATCTAGCAAGCTCTTCAACAGAGGAAGTTTGTGCTTTGGATATTAAACCAGGTCATCTTATGCATCGCATGGAAGCATAAGAATGAACGCTGGTTATTTTTGTCCATAAATAAGTCCGAATATTTTATATTAGATTGACTTCGCGGCAAACGAATATCTACCTAATCGGAACGCTTTCTCTATACAGTGAGCAGAAGCTTTTTACACAGTAATTTTTCTGGATACACAGTAACTAGTCTCATTTTTGTTTGCTTTATTCGACAGTTCTGCCTTCCTTCTCGTATGTTCTTTATTGCGTCGTTCTGATGCACACGCCATTGTAGGGCAAGCTGCTTGTCTCCTTCGCTAATAATTTCGCAGCTCGATCAGCCAGCACTTCCTTTCGGTAGTTACGTAAAGGTGATTTTCTCTCGATGGTTATGTTCATGGGAAGGTGTTGCGTGTCGTCATGGTCATCGAAGAACAGTGGCAGTTTTTGATTCAAGATTTCTGAGCCAAAATGCAAGAAAACTGTGAATGCTTCATCATCCCGCTCCTGCTTTTTGAAATCTTTATTTTCATTTTCAAAACTCATCGAGCATGAATTATGCTTAAATTATCGATGCACGCTTTACGGAAATTATTGGAAGAAAGTTTTCGGAACTTCAATTGCTGATGTTCAATATGCATGCAGGCTTGACGCTTGATCATATCCTGCGACGAGTATACTGGGCCGACGCGCACAAGGGAACAATCGAGTATGCTAACTGGAACGGGAACGGGATGGCGGTGGAGCTGAAGTTGCAAAAAATTCAAATTCCGTATTCCGTGGCTGTCTTCGAAGCGTCCGTCATTTGGAACGACTTGTCGTCTTCTGCAGTGCTTCAAGCGGATCGTCGATTCAGAAATTCCACCAAGGTGCTTCGGAAAAAAGTTTTGCCGATCGATATTCGCGTCCGTCATGCTGCCGCTCAGCAGGAATATCCCGGCCTCGACCCGTGCAGCGATGTGCAAACGAAAAACTGCTCCCACATTTGTGTCTTGATGCCAAATGGATATGTCTGTTTGTGCCCTGATGGCCTCACGAGGGTGTCGGACCACGAGTGTCAGGTGAGGGACATTTTGTTTTTCCTTCATGGATTGCCATGCGTGCCCCAAGGTCAGTCCTCAATAATTAGCCGATGCGTGTACTTACGTGACCCACGCCAAACGCCTGGTATAAGCCCATGTCATGTCGAACTGCACTTCTTCAAGGCTATATTTTCCGAATGTTGTTTTGACCAGCAATTTTCATTAATGATGGTTTTCCTGGTTGAAGAACTGTCTTTCGAGTCCTTCGAAACGGAGATCGGTGAATAGCGCGGTTTAAATTGGCATCTCGGTTTTACTCATTTCACAGGAAAAATTATCGATTCAACTGAAGATGCCTGAAGAGACGAACCCTGGTTCCAATGCGGAGGAATCTTTTCATTGTAACGAAACTCGGACGTGTCTCAATGGAGGAACTTGTGTCCAGCTCGGCACTGGGTCCCGATGCGAGTAAGAGAAAAAACTTTGTTATTGTATTTACATTCAAGAACGTTCTAGTTGAACCATTTTCTCCGAAGTTCTGTTAAAACTAAGGTTGAAAACTTAGCTAAGGTTGCTGTATGCCCCTTATGAGTATGTTAGGGCACAATACTTCAGATTTTTAAGTTTCAAGCAAAAGCGAAACTTTGAAAACAATTTATTAGTGCTGACGCGTTGACACGCATCAGAAGATTGAGCTGGCGCAAGACAAAATCCGTAAGCAAAAATCCCGCAGCAAGAGTTACATGATGGAAAACTTCTGAAAGATGTATATTTTTTAATGAAAAAGGAAAAAAATTGTCTTGGATATAAATTATGCGGAAATGTTTCTAGGCCTGAAAATTTCATAATGTCTGCCATTTTCCAACCGTCCTTCCACACAATTTATTTCAATGACACGTAGAAATTTAAGGCTCGTGCAAAATCAATGATATACCTAAATTTTATTTCAGCAGTACCTATATTTAGTTGTATTTTCAATCATCTGTCCGTTCTCGCATCGTCGCTCTTGCGAGATTATCTCTCCGCTGGATTTTCTCCTGGGAACCACTTGGATTTTAATTTAATTGCACAGTTTGCTTCTCGACTCTTGCGTTCTGTTCATTCAACTGCACATGCTTTATTCCTTAATGAGAAACGTCGATTCCCCAGATGCCTGAAAAATTACCATGGTCCGCGATGTGCGTTTGAGTCTACGGACAGGGAAACTTATTGGCGAGAAACTCAGGGCGGCGGTGACGGTCATGTCACTTTGGACGCTGGCGGATCTGGTGGAATCATCGCGGCCGTCATCCTGTGCTTCATTCTTGTCGGCTTAATGATCGTCGGCATTTACCATGTTCGTAGATCCGAAGCCAACCGGCTTGCGGCATCCCTGGCGGCGAATCGGTAAAATGCGCATTATTTAGCGACCCGGAAGTCTTCACTATAAAAAAATTTCCGGTTCCATACAGGCTTCTCCGGTCTGTGCAATTCTGGAGCGGCAAGGACTTCCGGCTGCTCGCGCATGATGTCTTGCAAGAAGCGGCAGGAGCTTCGGAGGACGAAGCTGTACACATGCCTGCGAACCCTGCGGAATGTGTGGCACCCAGCGCCATGACGAACAATAGGAAGCGTGTGGATGGCACGGAACGAGTCGGTGTGAACTTTGACAACGCCATGTCGTTATCCCCCGCGAAACCGTCGGAATTCACGAACCAAGTTTTCGGATTGAGGCAAGATACTCGCGGGAGAGGTTCTGATGGAAATTTATGATTGCCATGCGTTTATCTACATTCAGCTTGAACGGATGTCAGCGTTTTAATTTTTGAGGGATATTGTTGCTGCGAGGTTATTTCTCAAACCGTGTTGCGTGCTGTTCGAAGTTTTTGTAAGAATCTCTTTGTGAACGGCAATGAAAGTTTTAATTCTTAGCTGATGCCTTCGGACTTCATTCATTTTTCCAATATTACGCTGAAATACGAAGTGTGCATGTTGGGCGGGTAAATGACAATTTTAAGGGAATAACCAAGCATCAAAAACGAAACTAAAGCGTGAACAAAGTACAGTGCACCGATTTGTAAGCAATGCTGGTACCACTCTGTATCTGAGATCTTTTAAATGCAACATCTAAAGTGAAATTCCGCAAAAACAAAGCTTTTTCAATTCCAGGACAAGTTTTGCCACTTTCAAGATGGGATATATGTGCCTCCACCGCCTGAGTGAAACATCTACAGTATCCTGTTGAGAATTTTTTAGGAAGTACAGTATCTGACGAAAACAGTGCCGAAGAACCATGAAATATTTGGGAAGTCCATGCAATGAAATCTTTTTTTTTTCTGGCTTGTGAATCATTCAAATGCATGCGTAAACAAGCACGAACGTTGTGTGAACCACTCGACCTTTTAATAAAGCACGCACCAATGTTTGAAAATTTTATTTTCTGGATGCGCGTGCCTGCCGTGCGAATGCTATTCGATGGACCGGACATCATTCCAAGTATAATTAAGTTTCCTTAATTAAGTCTGTTTCAAAATTAACTTCTAGATTTTGATGCGAAACCATTTATTATAAAATTTACTTTCATCTTTTCTATCTAGCTTTGCAAAGGCACTGTACGAGTTCCTGCTTGAAAATTGCAAATATTTTCGGAGAGATAAGCAGAGGATGTAAAAGTATAAAATTATTGACGTCGGAGCATTGCGCGTTCGAAGAAAATGGAATTCCTTACGCTAATATCAACATACTTCCTCGGTCTTAATAGGTCTGCAGCAGGTTTCGCGCAGGAATTTCATGCATAATTTATACGCAAGAATAATATGTCTACACTGGCATCTTTAGGAATTTCGAACTCACACAGAGATTTTCTTTTGGACAAATTAAAACTATTGATGAAGCTGTTAATTGATACTTCGTGTGCGCGATTTTGGAGTGCTTGCTGGAACAGGTGGGATCCTCACTTCAAAATAAGACCACGAGTTATCTGCGTGGAAGATCGACCGAGAATTCGATTTAATGACCAATTCTAGACGCAGATGACAGAAACTTCATATCAGCTTAGTCATTTGGAATCTTCCAATTGCCAGTTCAGCGTTTTTCTATGTCCTCGACCAGCTTTATCTCGCCCGAAGCATAATTTGGAATCTACTGTATCAGAAAACTATACTTTTGCTGCTCTCCGATATTCCTTATCCAGTCGGACGAGATCCAGCCTCGAGCACACAGCATATCTTTGTGAAGACTGTTTTCGAAATTGCGACCCTGAAATTTCAATCGGCCTCACGGATCGACGAAGTACTGCGTTCCTTTAATTAATACTTGCATATCGTCATTGGTTCATCTCACCTCGATGGAACTTCGTAGTTTTCTATTGCGCAATTAATAAGTGTTTCAGGAGTTCAAATAGTTTCCCGACCCGTTCTTTTTATCGTATTTTTCATATACAGTGCGTATCCATCGACTTTGAATGTGGCCTATACAACTCACGTACATTTTGATTTAACTGCTCGTGAGGAATACCTCTAGGGTTATACCTTGAAGGGTACTTCAGTGGAATATGCGTGTATAAGCCGGTCAAATAATGCAAGAGGCTCCGCTGAATGTATATCATTTCAGCACACTGGGTGATTTTATGCCACATGACCATTTTAATTTTCGTCTGCGAGATTTTTTTTTTTTCAAAACACTTTTCAGATGGTTCAATAGCGTGTTCGACTATCCTTTGTTAAATTCTGCAACGTGACGCATTTCCAATATTTTCAGTCAAAGACGAAGAGAGTCGAGTTTGAACTCTTATCGTGCATTTACAGCTGCTCAACACGAACCGCAGTTGAAGGCTACATTCTTTCCTTCATTCGTTCGCGACATTTAAAGCATAAAATCTTTTTTGGGACGTGTGTGGGATTCCAAATGAGAGAATATTGCACGCGAATGAGCGCAGCCCGTCATCCTTGGTGATGATCTTTCCTTGGAGGAATCCCTATTATTGAATTGAAGTTACTGTATTGAATCCATTCCAAGATTTTATCCATCCAAAATCACAAGCTTTTTCTGTTTAATTCAGGATTTTTGCTTGAAGTTTTTCAACTTATTTAAAAGGTAACCCGCTTAAATAATGAGTGTATGGCAAAAATACCGCAAGCATGAAAATTATATTGGAACTGATAGTTTAAATCCAAAAGCTAAATATACGCGGCAGATATCTTTTAAAACAAATCCGAGATGGCTTTAAGTACAGAAGGATTTTAAATTGCACTGTACCTAAAAATTCGTCAAGTGCATCATATGTACACAAACTGGCGTAATTGTGTATAATGTTAAAGCAGCATGAGAACAATTTGAATGGAACGACCTGTAAAAAACCTCTTGAAGTCGTGTTTTTCAATTCGATTTAACGATGATCGGTTTTGAAAAAAAAGAAGATCGAGCTTCAAATATTGCTTAGTCCCAAAACTATAACGAGTAAAACTGCATATGCTTCTTCATAGTATGAGAAAAATCATGCAATCTTATTAACAATCAATATGCATTGCTGCGCTACATACTGTATTTCTATTTTATAACATTTGCATTACTTTTTTCTCAAAAATTATTCTTGCTGGATTTTCTCCGCGCGGGACCCGTTCATAGGAACATTATGTGCGCTGGGATTAATTCGTTTTCACACTGGAAATATAAAAATTTTGTTATATTTTTGAAATTCTTTTGAAGCACATTTTTCTGTTGAAATTCTTCCATCGAATAAAGCATTACATTTTTGGTTTTTCTTCGGATAGCCAAACATTGAAGAATACATGTGCATATACCAACCATTCAATTCTTCCATATAAGTTTACAAGCCTGTGCAGCACAAATTCTAAAAGTTGCATTATTTCATACAAAACATTTGCTAATTTTATGAGAAGGTATCGAATAGCCAGTGGAGACTGCGGGTGCATACTTCAGAACTCAAAGTGAGCAGACATGCTATTAACTGTGCACAGTTTCTATTAATTGAGAGGGGAACAATTGTCCCATAATGCATTCCAATATTCGCTTGAACCTCTCCATTCTATTTGAATGACTTAAATCAAGACTTCTAAATATTTTTATGGATTTTACGTCTCGAAATACGACAGTTTTCGCATTCCACCTCACCTGGATTACCAAGTATAGCCATCAGTGACATAGTTGAAATAAACCTGCAATTGTTCAGTTTATTTCAAAGTTCATGCTCAAATTCACGAGTTAATGCTAATGCCTTTTTCTAGAATATGATACAATCAAGCTCCGAAGGTAGAGGACACGTGGCATGTAAGATTAGCATTGTATCACGACGATCTTGTATACAGCCACCGGATACCCGTGTGCCACTAGTTGATTGCGTACTTCCGGTTTCAAAATAACCCTTGGATTTATAGGTAATCAGGGCAATTGGACTCACAATTTTACAAGAAGGTTGGTATGCACATGATGTAAGGCTAGTAATGTTATATTCTGGAACCTGTAGAATACCAGTTCGAAATAGAATTCGATTAGCTTTGATACGGGTTGACTCTCTTTACTATGATTTTCTTTGTATGACGAATTTTTGTGGTTCATCGGGGTCTCCATACCCATATTAATATAGAGGTTCTCTACGACGATTTTTTTTTGTCCCCAGAATTTCGTTGCAGACTTGTAGCAGAGAGAGAGAGAGTCCACCAGCATTATATTTTCTGGGCGAAGACTGCCAGTCGATATTCCAAGTTCTATCGTAGGGACTTATTTTTCCCCCTGAACCGTGTGGGAAACCCGGTCACCGTAGCTCTCTCCGTTCGCCTGAGCTCGTCGGTCATTGAATAATTTTCCGCTCACGCCGACCTCGCTGCCCGGGCTTTTCAAACACGGCGCACTTGTCTTCGGGACACGAGCGATGAGTGAAACTGCGAACGGAAAGGAGAGAGAGAAAGTTATTCGGCGGCGACTTGGTCAGAGCCGCCTGATTTTATCGCCGCGAGGCGGAGGAACGCAATGGCCCCCTTCTTCAATTCATTCCGTTTTCTCTTACAAGGCCGCCGGTGGCTGCCGAAGAACACACGAAGGTCCTCGGTAGGCGCTTTCGCCTTGACAGTCGCATTCGCTCGGCGATCCTTGAGAGATGGTTCACATACCGAGATACGAACGTGACGATAATTCGTTGGTGTATTCAAGCATACTGTATATACACCAGTGTTCCCAAACCCGTGGTCCGCGGATCGGCGCCGGTCCGCAGAAGTTTTTTGCCGGTCCGCGAAAAGTTTTCTGCAGCATAATATATTTATCAAAAGCAGCAATGAAGTCTGCTACCTTAATTTGAAATTTCATAAAGACAATGGCAGCTGAAATTATCTGATGAGAAACAAAAGTTTATTTTCTCCTATTAACACTTCAGACAAATGTCCCCTGCTGAAATCAATTCTTTTAATTTTTCATTCTGTGAAAGTCTTCGAGCCCACCTTTCAAGACATTCCACTACAGCTGTTTCATATTCAAGAATGTCTGGATTCGAGCGTAGAGCCCTTCAGAAGGTCCGATCAATCAAAATTAATTTCTAGATCTGTCATCTGACATTTTAAATCTTCAACTCACCCAATTTTGCTGCTTAAATGATGGGGGGGAGGGGCAATTGATTATTACTATGTGAGAGCATCCCCGTTCAAGGGATGCGCGAATCCAGTGTGATGATCATTGAAAGTTTCCTGCAATATCTCGTTGCAATTAATTGTTTCCGAATATTGACCCAAATTTCCCCAGCAAGGCTAACTCTTTAGGGTTAAAGTGTTCTTTTGAAATTCAGAAGTGGGAATTTAAACACAGGCGAAGAAAAAATTTCCAAATAAAGATATATACTTGGCGAAATTTGTGTATGAAACATCATCAAGGATACGCGGAACGAGAATCGAATTGGTCACGATTTTTAAACTTTTGCTTTTTTCATCA